TGATATAAAACATATCCAATACAATCACATTTCTTCATAAATTTAGGCCAAAATGTATTCTGCTGCATATCTTTGGTAAAGAAAAAAAAAAAAAAACCCAGTAGGGTGTATATTGATTGGTTTTGTGAAAGTGTCTACAAACTATGGGATAAATACTGAAATTTACACAGAGATTTGCTAGTACTTAAAGCGGAGTTCCACTCACTCTGTCAAAAAATAAAAGTCCGCAGTTACAAAAACTGTAGTTGCTGACTTTTAAGAAACAGCCACTTACCTGTCCCTCAATCCTGTGGTGTGTCCCCCGCAGCCCCTTTCACTGGCCGTCCTGGATTCCTGGAGGCCGACATCTTCAGTGTGGACACCCGGCTGTGATAACTTGCGGCTTCACAGTAGGGTACCCACTGCGCATGCATGAGTAGCGCTGCGCTTCATGAATGGTCCTGTAGTCTTCTGGGACCTGTCACGTGTCCCACAAAACTACAGGGAGGGAGGACACTTTCCGCTTCCGATCGCCTTGGGTGGAACTCCGCTTTAAATAGCCGGAACCCACAAGGAAGACTGGGTGAAGACGGAATCCCTGCCAGCGGTGACAGCGCACAGTTGGACGAATACATTATTTAGGTAAGTCTGTTATAGCGTTGGCCTTGATGTTCAAGTCAAACATAAGTTCGGCTGTTCAAAAAGTATGGAAATGGTAAAGGCGTTTGGCGGGCTGTTCGCCCATCGTGCCCCACAATGCTGTAAGGGACCGCCCGGCGACACCACTAGCACTCCACTAATCAGGCGTCCCCAGCGCACGGAGTCTAAGCCCCAGAGTACTTGTTCACCAGGGCCCCTGATGGTGGGGATGGACTTGGAGTACCCCGGGACCAGGTCGTGCCTACTGAGGATACCCGTCAGTGGTAGGGGTGTTCGCCAGGGGCTCCCACGGGAGAGAGCCTGATATGAGGAGGTCTGGAGACCCCGTTGAGAGGGATGGATGGATGGCTGAGCAAGTGCAGAGTCAGGCAAGCCGGGTCGGTAACGGGGAGGACGGTACGGTACAAGGCAGCGGGCAGAGAATAGTCGGGTCACACGCCAGGTCAGCAACAGCAGGTCAGATCCAATAGGGGGCATTCAGGAGAGAGGTCAGGCAAAGCAAGGGTCTGGGCAGGAGAATACAGCAGTGGTCAGGTACAATCCGGGTCAGCAACTTACTTGGAAACAGGTTCAGATTCAGGATACAGGGTGCAGGACAAGGATAAGACCAGAAGGCACCGAATGACAGCTCAGGGCCGTTTAAATATCGCGCCCTGCGCTGCCATTGGTGCCCAGCGGGCGGCCGCGGCTTCTACTGCGCATGCGCGAACTCACGCGCCGTGGCCGGCCCGGACCTAGAGCTCGCGTCCCTGCACAGGGCGGCATACTGTGCCTGCGCTGGGACCATCGCGGCGGGGATCGAGGGGATCCCTGACAAATGCACTGCGCTCTGACAGTGCATAGTGCTTGGCCAAAGCAATGCACCTGACCACAGGCCAGGTGCAATGCTTTGGCCAATCACAGCACACAAAGATGTCACAAGAGGGTGGGGTCACCCGGTTGAAGTCACTGGGTGGCCCCGCTCCTTAGATATTTAAGAACTGTCAGGCTGTTGCAACTGTCAGACGGTGGAAGCCAGTGTCAAGAGTGGAGCTTTTTTTTTTCTTTTTTCAGGTCGGCTGTGGCGGCGGGCATCATGATTGACGTTGGATTTACTTTGGGGGACATTTTTACAATTTTTTTTTCAATAAAGATTTGTCAAAGACTGTCTCCTGTCATTTTTTACACTACACTTTTTTTTCTTTTTTTGTGTTAATGAGTAGCAATATCATGTACCCTATACTCATTCACATAGCGGGGGCTGGGATTTGGGGTCCCCCTTGTTAAAGGGGTTTTCCAGATTCTGATAATCTCCCCGCCTGCATACCCCCACAACCACTGGCCATGGCTGTGAGGAAAAGGCCCCTATACCCATCAACAGGAGGACAAGGTGCTTTGGAGAGGAGCCCCCCCACCCCAAAGCACACCCCCCATATTGAGGACATGTGGCCTGGTAAGGTTTCAGGAGGGGGAAGGGTGCTAGCTTGTCCCCCCCTTTCCTGACCTGCCAGGATGCATGTTCGGATAAGGGTCTGCTATGGATTTTAGGGGGGACCCCCATGCCATTTTTAAAAAAATTTTGGCTGGGAGGTTCCCCTCAAAACCAGACCTAAAAGGCTTGGTATTGATGTGGGGGGGGACCCCATGCCATTTTTTTTTTGCAAAATTTTTAATTGCCAGCAATTCTTTTTACATTCAGCTGTCAGTGAGCAACCCCGCTGACAGTGGAAACATTAAAGCAAATTTTCACTACTAAAATACTGCATGACTTAAAAAATTAACTCATAAATACCGCATGACTTAATAAAATACCTCATTCAGTATTTTAGTAGGTTTTTGTTATAAAAACTGCTGTGCGGTATCTTGCCGCATACTCGGATACAGTAAGGTAACGCTTAGTGAATTGTCCCGTTCAAAGTTCGAAGTCAAACTTTCATTAGATTCAAATGTTAGTCTGCAAACCAAACGGGGGGGTGTTCGGCCCATATAATGTGCAAGCATGCGGTGCAACGGTCTGATAGCTTTGTTCTCAAAGATCACTCGACTGGGGCTGTCTGGGTCTGAAAAATTACTTTGATGAAAATGAGGAATCTAAGATTTTTTTTGGTTTACAGTAGCTCTGGACAGGATTCAGGGTTCTTTTTTCATTCTCAGGGCTCCATCTCTGGGGCTTGCTGATAGCTGGTTGATCGGTTCTTGGGGATCCTGGGCTGCTTAAATCCTAGTGGTACCTAGGCAAGGTGTTGGTTCCTCAAGCGTTAGTTTTTTTTTGTGTGTGTGGTAAAGTAGCACCTTGAATAAAAAGTCATAAAACATAACATTTTCAGGTCCAGATTTTATTGATAATTGCTCAGAGGTGTACAGACAATGTGTTTTGAGGGATTTTTCAAGGCTAAACAATAATATTGGGCTTTTGCCATTGAACCACTTGGAAGACTATATAAGGCCTATATTATTGTATTCAACACCCAATATTCTGACCTAAAGCCCTGAATAGGAGCAGTTGAACCACTTGGAGGACCATACAGGCTCTACATTATTGTATTACCATATAAAACCAAGTATTCTCACCTGGAGCCCTGAAGAAGGAGGAGCTGCTGAACCACTTGAAGGACCATATAAGTTCCTATTATTGTATTACCATATAAAAAACAGTATTCTCACCTACAGCCCAGAAGAAGCAGGAACCACTGAACCACTTGAAGGACCATATAAGTTCCCTATTATTGTATTACCACATAACACCCAATATACTCACCTAGAGCCCTAAGGAAGAAGTTGAACCACTTGGAGGACCATACATGGGGGCAGGGGCGGACTGACAACATGTCCTTACCCAAACTCAAAAAAGCCTATGAAAAAGGTACCAAGGACATCTCATGGGGCCCCCTACTGACCCTGGGCCCCATGAGTGCCCGATCAAATTTATTTGATCTTATGAATGGGATATTTATTGGTTCACTTAAGACTTTTATTTGGTGAAAACTCATATGATATTTTGAGATCACTTATTACTTGCTATGCTATATGTTATGACACTTGTACTTGTGTGTAGATTATGCTGAATCTGGAAGGTTTACGCTCAGGGGCGGACTGACAACTCATGGGGCCCCCGGGTGATAGGGGATCATGGGGCCCCTGTGTCCTTACCCAAACTCAAAAAAGCCTATGAAAAAGGTACCAGGGGCATCTCATGGGGTCCCCTACTAACCCGGGGCCCTCAGCAGTGCCCGAGTTTCCAAATGGTCAGTCCGCCCCTGATATAAGGTCTACATTATTATATTGCCATATAAAACTCAATATTCTCACCTAGACCTCCACAAAAGCAGGAGTGTTGAACCACTTGGAGGACCATAAAAGGTCCATATTATTGTATTACCATGTACCACCCAACATTCTCACCTAGAGCCCTGAAGGAGGAGTAGCCGTTGAACCACAGCCATGGATTTTTACTCAAGATGCTCACTTTTGCAGCAAAGTCTTGCCAACTATACCAGTGGAATAAACCTGAAAAATCCTTCTATTAATAAAGCCAGAAATCACAGACAGAGAATAACCATATTAGTCCAGAAAGCAAAAATATTTATTGTCAAAATAGTAAACAGCATAGTAAACAAATTTCATCATAAGAAGACCTCTTCTCTTTTGGTTGGGAGATAAAAAAAAATACATTCACATTTTATTTAAAAGTATACAAAATGTGTAGGATTTTGGGGGGCACCCAAAAATTTCAAGGCATCTTGCTATACCCTGCCTTTGTGGTCATGAGATGTAACGTAGATATGACTATGTATGGAGGCTTTATGAATACGCTTGTGTTACTCCAGTCATATGAATCATCCAAATTGTAGGTCATGACTCAATGAAGCAGCCACCACCTGGGTTTTAGAATTTTTTAAATGACTGAGCAGTATGGATGGACCCACCAACTGTTTACTTTCACCCAGCACAATACTGCCTTTTAAACGTGCACATTGATTCTAGAGCCATTTACCGGTCTCTACATAATTGTAGTGTCTTTATAAAAGGGAAATGTGGCTATGCCTGTAGCTGTATGAGGTGGGCTGGCTGAACCAGGGAAGGTATATATTTTTTTCCTCTTTGAAATGATGTAGGGTATGTGTGGATATGAAAGACATGATACATATGTTTACCCTCCCACAAGTTGTGTGGCTCCTTCCATAACTTTTGTAGCTATCTATCCTATGGCATTAGTCAGGAAGGATGGCATATAGCCATGGCATTAAAAAACAGGATTAGCTAAACTCGCCAAGAATCCGAAAGGATGCAAAAAGCTAGACCTAAGCTTTGTGGAAATGCCGATATTCACGTGTTTATAAAAATATGCAATTTTGTTTTAACATATGTAGGTGATCATAAATTTAGTCTTCTTCTTTGCATCTCCGAAGCCTTGCTTTAGTTTCTTCCTGCCGGTTCCTCCAGGCAGCAATGATAGCGTCATCATCATCCATTTCTTCTGCTTCCTCTTTGTTCTTTCTATACTGAGACCATCTTCCCTCAGAACTTTGACTTTCCATTGGATCTCCATTCTCTTTGTCCTCATCATCTTCACTCTTCCGGAAGCTTGGAGTACATTTTCTTTTGGAGCTGGAATTGAATGAATTTGTCTCACTGGATTCTTCAAGATCTTGAAAATTACTTGTTCTAGATCTCCTAGTGCTGGAGAAGTCAAAGTCATCCAATCCATTTCTATCTTCTGAATGGTCACTGAGGTGGGGTTCAGGGCTCTCATTCTTCATGTACTGAGCATCATGAGCTTTAGACTTCCATACATAGCTGCTGTCTTCTTCTGAGGAAGCTGAAAACCTTGATGAAGACCTATGGGTGTCCCTGTAACTCTGGTATGATGAAGAAGCTTCTTGGTCTTCTTCTGTGATCCTCTTGCTGTATCTGCCAACCTCAGAATTTGTCTCTCTCTGATAGTCTGATCTCCTTGAAATCTTTTCAGACTTGTTCTCACTTTCTGATGTTCTGCTTTCGGTTTTCACATTACTGAGCCATTTGCTGATATTACTCTCCAGCTCGGAGCTGGCACTCTTAGAACTAGAATACTGACTGCCTAGAAAGGAATCCTTTTCACTTTTGTCCCACTCTCGACGTGTAGACATTCGGGAACTCTGAAAATTTGCACTTGAGATGCTCTCCTTCTCTTCTTCCTCGTCATTTTCTTTTGCCTTTTTCTTTTTGTACATAAAGCTGCGCTTGTTATCAGACACAACTTTTTCCTTACGATATTGGGATAATTTTCCTGTGAGCTCCTCTCTCATTTCATTTTCTTTCTGGTTAAGTTTTTTCAGGTCAACATCATCCATGAAGAGCCCATACAAAGGAACACTAGTTTGGGTGATCTTCCTCTTTGTACTTGATGCGCTTGTATTTGAACTCATTGATGTGTTGTACGACAACACAGAGTCTGTACTCTTCAAGTCCCGTTGCTGCAGACCAGAACCAGAGAGGCACGACCCACCAGCTGCACCAAATATGGAAGACCTATCATCATCCACTCTTCTTCCAAGATCTCCAGAAGTCATGCTCATAGCCGAAGAAGCGCGGGACATCATCATGATCTCATTTGTTTTTTGAGCTATGGTTTCATTTACCACATTTGCTATCCAATTTTGAATGCTTTCGATGGCAACAGCATCTCCAGCACCAGGAGGCAGATTGTGTGGAGGAGCTAGGGGTACCTGTGCTTGACTTGCCTGAGATACTCGTGATCTGTTGCTTTGTATGCTTAACATGGACGCTGTGTCACTAGCACCACTGGCTGATTGGGCACCAGCAAAAAGGGCAGCTAGCGGGATAGTACCACTAAATGTACTTTCATTATCCCAACCACAAATAGATTGGCTCTCTTCTAAATTCTGCTTGGAGCGTTCCAGGATCTCAGCCCGCCTTTGCCTACGTTTAACAGCTGCGCTGTCTTCACCTTTGGCAATTTCGACAATTTCATCTTTATTTTCATTGCCTACTTTCTTTTGTTGTTTTAATTTCCATGCTTGATAAGCTGTTACATCAACATCTGACTGGCTGGTTTCTTCATCTTCTTTCTTCTTTTCATCTTTACTTTGAGAATCAGAAGTTTCTGAATCCTTTTTGTGGTAACCAAACTGAATTCTTTTAACCTTCCACCTCTCCAGTGCAGTGAGCTTACTTTTGTTATTCTTGCAAAAGTTGAACAGGGAACCTGCCTCTGAGCAAAGACTTTCCTCATCGATGTCCTTGACTCTGATTTTATCTCCTTTCTCAGCCTTAGTCTTGGCTTCCTTTTCAATTTCCAAGAGTCTTTCATTCCACATGTCCCAGGTACTGTCTGTAGATTCGGAGTCCGATCTTCCCTTTTTCATTCTACTTGCAGCGAATTGCCGTTTCAGCATTTGAATCTCCTGAGAGGTGACGCTTTCCACATCACTTACTTCACTTGGCGAATATCCTCTCTCGCTCATTAGAGAACTTACATCATCTCCAAGGTTGTGGGACTGATATTTACTGTTTTCCTTCTGCCAGTTGTAAATCATCTGCTGGACATAATCTCCATCTGCGTCTTCTGGGAGTTTAGGGCCTTCTTTTGTTGGTATCTCTCTAGGTGGAAGCCCTTGTTTTTTTCTCCATTCTTCGTAAAGTTTTTCTTCTTCATCTTCATCAATGAGCGTAGGCTGTTTTGAAACCACACTTGACTTTCCCATCATGCTCATGGCACTGCCCATGACGCTAGTTGTATCTTCTTCCTCCACCGTGATAGAGTGAGCCTTGGCACCCATGACACTCTCCACATCTTCTTCCTCCACGACAATGGAATGAGCCTTGGCTTGTATGACGGAACCTTGACTGGTATTATCATCATCGTCATCGACGTCAAAATATTCACGTTCTTCAAGCAAAGTTTCATTAAGTTCTCTGAGCTGTTTAATAAAGCTGTCGTTGGGGTAGATTGCTCGCTTTTTACGTAATGTCATTAGGGCTTCTAGAATGGTCATGTGGTGAAAGATCATCAAGTACGCTGCAACTAAGACTGCTGATCGGCTCATGCCCATCTCACTGTTCACCAGAACTTTACCTGTAAAAAAAAAAGGACAGAGGTTGTCATTGCTCTGCAAGGTGAAAATATCCAAAATAAAATATAACTTTTAGATATTGATCTTTTTAGGTTTGCATTTATATATCAAGTGCATAATGAAAATTTAGAATTTTTGTAAAGCTTCGGAAACACTTCATACTTGAGGAAGAGCTCAAGCCCTGTTTTTTTTGCTGTCTGTTTTTCCATGTGGTAGAATTTTACTCCCTTCTTGTTCCAGTGGTTATTTTATTTATTTATTTAAGGTACTTATATAGCACTGACAATTTACGCAGTGCTTTACATATATATTGTACATTCACATCAGTCCCTAACCCTCAAGGGGCGTACAATCTAAGGTCACTAACTCACATTCATATACAAGGGCCAATTTAGACAGGATCCAATTAACCTACCAGCATGTCTTTGGAGTATAGGAGGAAACTGGAGTACCCGGAGGAAACCCACACAGGCACAGGGAGAACATGCAAACTCCAGGCAGGAGGTGCCATGGCTGGGATTTGAACCAACCAACCCTAGTACTGCCAGGCAGAAGTGCTAACCATTTAGCCACTGTGACCATTTAGCCACATGGTCAATGATAACAGGAGGACTCTCCAACAAATCCATTAAAAACACTTATTTTTAATATAGTAGGAAGTGATAAGAACCTTTTTTTAAGATTTTCATTGCTGTTCATTTTCATGTTTGGAGAAATTTCTTAAATGTTTCTGTTCCTAGGTTGCAGCGCCTGGGTTTATTATTAGAGAACCCAGCACAGTCTCTAAAATTGAGTGTCATGGATGCTACCTGAAAAGTGTCTGTAATATATCTCTCCTACCCACCTCTATAGGCTAAACTAAATAATACCAGGACTGATGCCTGTAGGTGGTGAAATCATATCTGAATGTTAGTCTGCCCTCTACTTTATTTGGCCACTTTTACAGCATTGGCACTTTTTTCAGTCTTTTAAGCCTAAGTGCAACCAAACAGTTTTTTAGGTTCTGTAAGGTGGGGGAAAGGGTTAGAACCCCTGCCATGTTTAAACTGCCTTATGTGTCCTATTGCTGTGGGAAGATTTACTCTCTCTTCCTGTGCATATAACAAGAGCAGTGCCAGGATAAGGTCATCCAGTGCCCACAACCAAGATGCCAAACTGTACCACCACTCCTCCCAATTGTCTTCTGCAGCTGGGATCTATGATACTAGCACTGCAGCACCACTTCTGCCTGACAGTTGCAAAAAAAAAACGTTGGGACGCTAGTCAGCCCCCCTAGAGTGCCAGTATCTGGTGCAGACCGCACCCTCCTAAGTATTTCACTTGTGCAGACAATGGACCTCACCATCAGAGAAAGCCCCCACGCAGCAGGGCGGCTTAGTAAAGGATGGAAGGGGTGAGGGCAAGGTTTTCAGCTCGGTTGAATGTACCATACAGGCTACACTCGTGGTGCCCCCCCAACACATAAAGACACTGCGCTCTGGGCTGCCCCTCTTGCCTGTCTTCCTAGTCCTGGCCCTGGACAAGAGTCAAACAGAGGAGGAAGTGATGGGGATTGAAAGAGCACATTTATTTGGTGGACTGGAGAAAGGTTATAATCTCTGTCAGGTTTTTATTGCTCACTTTGACTTTCTGCACCGGGGACACCAGCACCCTCTCATTCCTTTTTCTGTTATCCACCCAGGATGGGAAGAGAGGGAAAATCTGCCCAGTGAGGACGTTGGGCATCAATCAAACCTTGACAGACTCCTACCCACTTCAGTTTTCTCTGTAGTTGGTCTTGGAATTTTGTATAAATAAGCCAAAAGGTCAAAAAACAGGACAAAAACAGACAAAAAATACACACAAAACAATAAAATGTCATGCTAATCTCATAACTCATACAAACTTTCCCTCGGCATTCCATTGACTGGATACAACATTGGTACCTGTTTAGTAGCCTGTCAGATGGGAGAAATCTTTTATTGCTGGAACCAAAATGTCTCCCATAACAAATAGAATCTAACGCTTGTAAAAACTGTCCTAAATTAAAAATAAATAATGTCCGCCATCTCCTGTTCACATGTGTGGATTATGTCTAGACTGGGAGACAAGCATCTACCTCCATTGTCTGGTCTCATTATGTATGTTCTCTGCTTCAGGGCCACTGCACTGTAGAACAAGGACACGCGCTATTTTTAAGGTGCCGCAGGACATGGGTCAAGTCTCTGACAAGACATGATATATATATATATATATATATATATATATATATATATAATAAAAATATAAACAGTATATTGTTCCTGTATTTAACAGATATTTAGGGAAGGTGAAAGCAAATATTTTCTGGTTCCCTTTAAAGAACTGCAGGCTAATGTATATATAAAAAAAATATTTAAATCCACCTATTTGTCCTTTCAAAAGTCAGGAAATCACTTTTAAGCTGGAATCTACTTTTTCACTGAGTTACTAAAGCTGGTCATGCACCAGTAGATATTTGCTTGATAAATTCTGTTTTCTGAGCTTTTGCTTAATTTTCTAAGACTGGGGTCAAATCGGCTACGGGTTTCAACCGCACTGACGAGGAAAATTGGAGAATGATGGAAATTAATAAATAATCATAAAAAAATAATAATATGATAATAATAAATTTAATTCAATAATATAATCAAACCGAAAACACTGAAATTTGAAATATAGCGCCAAGTTTCGCACATCGCTGAGCAAAGTCGCAGTCGTTTTCAGTGTCTGATGACGAATTTCCCCCACGAATCATTATCACTCAATTCTGCAAGTGGTTCTGATTTGCTATCGCTGTTCTCTAGCCGGTCTAAAACCGCTTTTGACCTAAAGGGACGCTTTTTGGACGCCATGGACGTTTCTCAGTTTCCAGGCAGAAAGAACAGTAAAAATGCAGGCAGGGCGCCGGACAAAGCACTCGGGACAAAATGTATGTGAAATGGTTTGATACAGGAATGTTATACTATGTGATTTTTAGTGATTTTAGTGAATGTCACTTTTTGTCATTTTCAAATTTCTCGCCAGTTCTGTCCCCCGTACGTCCCAACACTCGCAGGGGACGGAACCCAGAAGACAGATGCCGGATTACATTGCCGGGGACACTGCAGGAGGGACATCGCGGGAGCGCAGGACAAGGTAAGTGATCGAGGGATCGTGGAGCAGCACCGGATGGTAAGCCCGAGTGTAGCTCGGGGGGGTTACTGCTTGTGGTACTGAAACTTTACCCCGAGCTACACTCGGGAATACCGCCAGGGAAGTTAACTCTTTCCTGTGAATCCCAGATGTTCAGGGAAGCAGCATGGTGAGAGCAGGAGCCAGCAGCTTTGAAAGTTTCTAACTGCAAGCGCTGGATTAGGAACTTTAACAAATAGTTTACTGGGGAATGCTTATTTTTTTTGTGCTCAATGCGTTAAACCAATGAAAAAAAAAAAACAAATTGTATAATACTACTTTAAGCATGCAGTGGGAGTGGCTTCTCTACTGGTTAGTGCAAGGGGGAGGTCAGTGTGGGCATCACCAGTGTGTCAATGTCCATTTGGGATAGTGCTCTTTCAAATATCTAGAACTGTGGCATCTGCAAATTGATGTCACCCCCTCTTCGTTTATGAAGCCATATTGCACAATGGGGGCGAGATGATCCCAATAATATGTGCATTATTTTATAAATCCCTTGTTAGACCTAGGAATTCCTATTTTTTTTTTTACTTAGTATTCACCTCCTGTAGCCAGAGATGCCCTTTAAAGTAGATCTAAACCCCAAATGAATGAGATTTAGTGTGCTAAAATAACTACTATATGTATCAAATGGCTTTTTTGTGTTTTTAATAGTGACAGTGGTGTGCCATGGCTGTGTCATGTGTTTCAGCATGGCCACTTGTAGTCTCCACCAGGGGGTAACATGTGACAGGGTGACAACTCAGGAGCACAACTTGAAGACTCTTGTCACCCCATAACAGGAAGTGTCTAAATAATGGTCATCGTGACAGGATTGCTTAGCATTCTTTTAATGACAGCTGCAGTTTAAATAAAAAAAAAAAAAAGGTTAATAATTCTTTTGAAATGACATTGACACATTGAAGTTTATATGAAATTTTAGTATTACTTTGAACTCTGTTTGACAGGTACATGTTTTTTATTTAGTTTTGAAAACCTGTATTAGGTAACTTGAGGTGTAATAAAGTGTGTGTTATATTCCAGCTGAATACTCTGGCTTGTTCCCACCCCAAGTTATATTCGGGTAGTGTCCTGCCGTAGCACAGAGTGACTTGTGTGTGCTCAGGCGCAGATTCAAACTACTTCCAGAAAACGGAGATCTGACTGTAAATTGTATTATTATGCTGCACTTTTATTTTTATCCTTTGTTATTGTTACGCCTAAAATATCTCTGAAACCCCTGATGATTCATCACCCAATTTCAGGTCTGTCAAGCAGCAGCGGGGTATTTTTATCTGTTTTGTGGACACAGGGGCCTCTCTCTCCGAGAAGGGACTGGTGGCAGCAATGTGGCGTGCGCAACTCCGCATGAACAGAACAGCAGCCTATGTGTCCAGAGGAATGGGAAACAAGCAGGTCCAAAAATAAAGATTGCTCATCTAAATTTTCACTTATGGCACCAATGTATGGGCCAGCCTGAAAGTCCAATAAAAATCTATATAGGAACAACTAAACGTGTATCTCCTAACATCTTCACCATAGGTTCTTCTCCTCTTATCACCTCTCCTTCCCTCTGTTCCCTTCACTCCCTGCCTCCCCTCTCTTATCCTTACCTCTCCATCTTCCCATCTCCTGTACCTTGCCCTCCTCTCTTTTCATCATCTCCCCTCCTCTACTTTTCTCACGTACCCTTCTTTCCTCTCCTTTCCTTCCATCCTCACCACTCCTACCCTGCTCTCCTCTCTTCTCATCTCCTGTCCCCTTCTTCTTTTCCTCTCTCCTCCTTTCATCCTATTCCTTTCACTTATCTCCTCTTTCGTTCCTGCTTCTTTCCTGTCCCTTCTAATACTGTCCTCACTATTGCACTCCATTCCATCTCTTGTTCCCTTCACCCATCTCCTTTCCTCTATCCTCCTTCACATCTCTTATCCCCTCCACTCCTTTCCCCTTCTCTCTTCATATCTTTAATCATTGCCTTATTTCTCCTTTTCCTTTCCTGTTCTTTAATCTCTTCTCCTGTCGCCTCTACTCCTTTGCCCTCCCCTCTCCCTTCCTCCTTGTTTCTGGTCTCTCTCTCTCCCTCCCCTCCCCATTCCATTACTCCTGTCCTCCTCACTCCTCTCTTTCACTAATTCATTGTCACCCTCACTCATGTCCTCACTTTTAATGTGTCCCCTTCACTCCTCTCATCATTTGTGCGCTCAACTCCTCTCTTTTTTTCTTGTCTCTTGCCCCCTCTAACCATTACTCTTCATGTGCCCTCCACTCCTCTCCTCACTCTTTCACCAATTCCCTGTCCCCTTCACTCCTCTCATCACTCCTGTCTTTTTGTCTCATCTCTTGTCCCCTCCATTCATCACTTCTCTTTTTCTAACTCTTCCTCTCATCTTCTCTCTCCTCCACTCTTCTCCCTTCTTGTGCCTCTCACTCCTCTCTCTTTTTCTGATTTCTTGTCCCACCCACTCATTTCCACTCCTTTTCCTTTTCTCTTCCTCTCATCTCGTGTCCCCATTACTCACCACTCCTGTCTCCTTCTTTTATCTCCTTTTTCTTCCACTCATCTCCTCTCCTTTCCTGTCTCCTCCTCTCATCTTCTCTGCTCTCCAGTCCTCTTCTGTTTCTCCCCCCTATCTTTTTTTCCTCCCTGCCCCTTCTCTCTTGTCCTACATTAAAATCTATGTCCCCTTGACTCATCTCCTGTCCCCCCACTTCTTTTTTTTTTTTCTTCTCTTCTCCCTTCCTCCCTGTCCTAATCCTCTTCCCCTTTCCTCTCCAGTCCTTAACTTTAATCTCTTGTCCCCTACACACCTTTTTTCTTTCTCTTTCACCAATTTCTTGACCCCTCTCCTATCTCCCTTCTTTTCCCCTCTCCTCCTCTTACCTAATGTCCCTTCTTCTTCTCGCCTCTTCATTTCGTAACTCTTATTTCTTTTCTCCTCCACTCTTCTCCTCGCTCTTTCACTAATTTATTGTTATCTATCTCCTCTCCTTTCTTTCTCTCCTCTCATTCTCTCAAAATTTTCCCCTTCATTCCTCTTTTTGTCTCATCTCTTATCCCCTTCACTCATCACTCCTCTTTTCTCTTCACCTCCTCTCATCCTTTCTCTTCTCCACTCTTCTCCCCTCTTGTGCCCTTCACTCCTCTTTTTCTCATCTCTTGTCCCCTCCACTCATCTCCACTTCTTTTCTTCTCTCCGCCTTTCATCTCTTGTCCCCTCTGCTCCCCTGATCTCCTATGTCAGTCACTCCCATAGCCTTCTCTCATCTCTCGTCCCCTCCACTCATCTCCACTTCCGTTCCTCTCTCCTCCTTTCATCTCTTGTCCCCTCTGCTCCCTGATCTCTTATGTCCGTCACTCTCGTTGCCTTCTCTCATCTCTTGTCCCCTGCACTCATCTCCTCTCCTTTCATATTTCCACCTCTCAACCCCTCCTATCCTCTCCCCTGATTGTATTTTTTCCTCTCTGCCCCCTTTCTCCTCTCTTGTCCCATACTAAAATCTTTTGTTGCCTCAACTTATTTCCTGTCCCTTCTACTGCTTTATTGTCTCCTCTCTCTTCCTCCCTGTCCCAATTATTCTCCTCTTTACTCTCCAGTCCTCTTGTCCCCTCCACTCCTTTCCTTACTTGTGGCCTCCACTTCTCTCTTGTGCGCCTTTTTTTCACCAATTTCGTGTCCCCTCTCCTGTCTCCTCTCTTCTCCCCTCTCCTCCTTTCATCTAATGTCTCTTCCACTTCTCTCCATTTATTAACTCTAATCTCTTTTCTCCTGCACTCCTCTCTTGTGCCCTCCATTCCTCTCTTGTGCCCCCCCACTCCTCTCCTTGCTCTTTCATTCATTTCTTGTCTCTTCCCCTATCTCCTCTCTTTTCCCCTCTCCTCCTTTCAACTAATGACCTTTCCACTTTACTCCTCTCCATTCCTTAACTCTAATCTTTTTTCCCCTCCACTCCTCTCCTCACTTGTGCCCTCAACTCCTCTCCCCTCTTGTTCACTATTTCCTGGTCCCCTCCCCTATCCTCTCTATTTTCCCCTCTCCTCTTCTTGTCTATTGTCCCCTCTACTCCTCTCTTCTCGCCTACCTTCCACCACTCTCTTTCTTTCATTTCTTGTTCCCTCCATCCATTTCCTCTCTCCTTCTCTCATGTCTTGTCCTCTCGCTCCTCTCCCTCTCTCTTGTATTATCCTTTAATATAAAAACTATTATACATAAATTATAATTACCCCTGTAGGTGAGCAAAGCTTCATCAAGGAACTCGGCAGCCGGTCTGAAAAACTTTGAGATGTCGCAATCGGGAAAGTCATCGACTTCAACGCCCATGTACTGGACCTCCATTCCAGTGTAGAATTCAGGCCCCGTAAACACTGTGGTGTTGTGCCCGGCATTCAGGATGTGAGTGATGCCCATCCGCTTCAGGCGCCCCTTGTTGACAGCCACACTCCTAAAATATAAATGGAAGTCAGGCAACTGTAAAAGGTCATGTGGTCCACTGACACTTGCTCCAATGGATTTAAGGGGTCAGTCCACCCAAAAGTTATGTTTGAGCTATTGTTAGAGCCTGATTAGTTGAGGCACAGTGATGACAAGGCTATTGTTCTTTACCATTCCAAAAACTAAGAAAAAACAAATCATGAATTTGAGAGTTACCTTTATATATAAAATGTCCCCCGGAATATTGCTATCATAGTGAGGTGTCTGTGAGCTGCACTGTACACAGCAGCATTTACAATCATGTTAGGCGGATTTCAGCTGTCATTTGTTCTAGGAGGGAGATGGAAGGGCGCAACAAAGCGAAGGAGAAGCTTGAAATACGAGAAAGAACAGTAATGAAATATAACCGAGAAAATGAAGCTGCAATGAAGCAGGCGGAAAAAGTGAAATCTTGTACTTCTATCTGGAATGAGTTTCACATTAAAGATTTGCGGCGTGTTCTGTGTTAGAGATTATTGTATATATACACACAGCTCCATCATTACCATTGTCAGTGACAGCGTGGCCTCATTGTCTGAGCCTGGCCTGCTGCTTTCCGCTGGAACATTATTGGTGAATAGAGCCGTATTCCCGAGATCAGCCTTCCCAATGACACAGTCCGGCAATGAGAAATCTCCGGCCTGATTACACAATAATGTGCCGAATAAAGGTGAGCCGCAGTGTGCCATTACCGGGTTATAGACGGATATTACCGAGCTGTGCGCCCCATCCCCAGGAATCAGCAGAACATGTGTGACAATCTACTGACACCACACTGGAGAGGAACACACTGTCCATTTTTCTATCTATATATTATCTATCAATCTATTTATGTATCTATTGTACATCTATATACTATATATCTATGTTTTGTTTATCTATCTATTGTACATCTATATACTATATATCTATGTTCTGTTTATCTAACTATATATTATCTATCTATATACTATATATCTATGTTTTTTTTATCTATCTTATATTATCTATCTATATACTATATATCTATGTTTCTGTTTTTCTAACTATATATTATCTATCTATATACTTTATATCTATGTACAGTTTATCTATCTATTTTTATCTATCTATATATATTATTTCTATGTACATTTATCTATTATTATCTATTATGTATCTATTTATTATATATATCTATGTTCAGTTTATCTATCTATATCATATCTTTTATCTATCTATTATCTTCATGTATCTATCTATCTTTTATATATATATTATCTATCTATTTATCAGTTTATCTATCTATATATAATATCTATTATATATATATATTTATCTATATTATCTATCTATTACCTACTATCTATTTTTTACCTACGTATCTATCTATAATCCAGCTATCTGTCTATTTATCTATATAATACCTACCTACCTATCTTTCTACCGCTTTATATATGGTATATCTATCTATTATCTATCTATCTATCTTTTATCTATTTATCATTTATCTTCTGTATATATTATCTATAAATCTATTTTTCTATCTATCATCCATCCATCTATATAATATATCTATGTACAATTTATCTATCTATCTATAGTCTATCTATCTGTTTGTCAAGTTATCTATATTTTTTTCTATCGATCTACCTATCTATGTGTATAATGTCTATCAAACTATCTATCTATCTTAAACCTATAATGTATCTATTTTTCTTGTGATACCTATAATCTATCTAAGTGTCTTTTTATATCTTTATCTTTTTCATACCTACACTGTAATTATCTATTTATCTCAGATCTATCTATCTATCTATCTATCTATCTATCTATCTATCTATCTATCTATCTATATATCTATCTACCTATCTATTTTTTTTTTTTTACATATCTATCTACTGTATAGTCTAGCTATCTGTCTGTCTTTTTTATCTATATAATATATTTCTTTTCTAATATCTATTTACAGTCCATCTATATAATATCTATTAAACAATCTATTTACAGTATCTCTCTAATATCTATCATTCTATCTCTCTATCTATCATTTATCTTCTGTATATACAGTTGCAAGAAAAAGTATGTGAACCCCTTGGGATTACGTAGTTTTGCATGAATTGGGCATAAAATGTGCTCTGAACGTCATCTAAGTCACAACAATAGAAGAACACAGTCTGCTGAACATAATACTACACAAACATTAGATGTTGCCATGGTTTAATTGCACGTAACATGTAAATATTCACAGTGCAGGGAGGAAAAAGTATGTGAACCTTTGGACTTAATAACTGGTTGACCCTCCTTTGGCAGCAATAAGTTCAACCAAACATTTCCTGTAGTTGCAGATCAGACCTGCACAACGATCTGGAGTCATTTTGGACCACTCCTCTTCACAAAACTGTTTCAGTGTAGCAATATTCTTGGGATGTCTGGTGTGAATCGCTCTCTTAAGGTCATGCCACAGCATTTCAATCGGGTTGAGGTCAGGACTCTGACTGGGCCACTCCAGAAGGCGTATTCTGTGCTGTTGCAGCCATTGTTTTGTTGAATGACTTGTATGCTTTGGGTCATTGTCCTGTTGCATCACCCATCCTCTGCGGAGCTTCAGTTGGTGGACAGATGGTCGTACGTTTTCCTGTAAAATGTCTTGATAAACTCTGGAATTCATTTTCCCATCAATGACAACAATCTGTCCAGGCCCTGAGGCAGCAAAGCAGCCCCAAACCATGATGCTCCCTCCGCCATGTTTCACAGTGGGGATAAGGTTTTGATGTTGGTGTGCTGTGCCTTTTTTTCTCCACACATAGTGTTGTGTGTTCTTCCCAAACAACTCAATCTTGGTTTCATCTGTCCACAGTATATTTTGCCAGTAGTGCTGTGGAACATCCAGGTGCTCTTTTGCAAACTTCAAACGTGCTGCAATATTCTTTTTGGACAGCAATGGCTTCCTCCGTGGTGTCCTCCATGTACTCCATTCTTGTTTAATGTTTTCCTTATTGTAGATGTGTCAACAAAAATGTTAGCATGTGCCAGAGATTTCTGTAGGTCTTTAGCTGACACTCTGGGATTCTTCTTTACCTCATGCAGCATTCTGCGCTGTGCTCTTGCAGTCATTTTTACAGGACGACCACGCCTAGGGAGAGTAGCAACAGTGCTAAACTTTCTCCATTTGTAAACAGTCTGTCTTACCGTGGACACACGAACATCAAGGCTTTTGGAGATACTTTTGTAACCCTTTCCAGCTTCATGCAAGTCAACAATTCTTGATCGTAGGTCTTCTGAGAGCTCTTTTCTGCAAGGCATGGTTCACATCAGACAGTGCTTCTTGAAACCAGTAAACCCAAAACAGGTGTGTGTTTTTTAAGGGCAGGACAGCTGTCAGCAACACATCCAATATCATCACACTGATTGGAGTCAAGGTTGGCTCACTCTTGGCTCCAATTAGCTCTGGGAGAAGTCATTAAGCTAGGGCCTCACATACTTTTTCCCTCCCTGCACTGTGAATGTTTACATGTTATGTGCAATTAAACCATGGCAACATCTAATGTTTGTGTAGTATTATGTTCAGCAGACTGTGTTCTTCTATTGTTGTGACTTAGATGACGTTCAGAGCACATTTTATGCCCAATTCATGCAAAACTCCATGTAATCCCAAGGGGTTCACATACTTTTTCTTGCAACTGTATTATCTATCCATCTATTTTTCTATCTATCATCCATCCATCTATATAATATATCTATGTACACTTTATCTATCTATCTATAGTCTATCTGTCTGTCAAGTTATCTATATAATATCTATCTATCTATCTATCTATCTATCTATCTATCTATCTATCTATCTATCTATCTATCTATCTCAAACCTATAATGTATCTATCTTTCTTTGTAATATCTATAATCTATCTGTTTGTCGAGTTATCTATATATTATCTATCGATCTACCTATCTATGTGTATAATGTCTATCATGTGGGCCTGATGGTGGCATTGTGGACGTGATGGAGAAGTCAGTGGGGGGGGGGGTGCGCGGGCTGGGGGGGAAAACTAGGAGTTTGGTTTTGAAGAGGTTCAGTTTAAGAAAGTGGAGCGACATCCAATCTGATGTCGTTCAGTAGGCTAGTGATTCGGGCAGAGACTGAAGGGGTGAGGCGAGGGGTCGAGAGATAGATTTGCGTGTCGTTGGCATAGAGGTGGTAGTTGAAGCCGTGAGAGTGTATCAGTTGGCCAAGGGAGGAGGTGTAGATGGAGAAGAGAAGGGGCCCGAGGACAGAGCCTTGAGGGACCCCAGCAGAGAGGGGGAGTGAGGGGGAGATGGTAGCGCTATAGGTAACGCTGAAGGAGCGTTGCGATAGGTAGGACGAGAGCCAGGAGAGAGCGGAGTCTCTGAGGCCGAGGGAGTGTAGTTTTTTGAGGAGGAGGGGTGGTCAACAGTATCAAAAGCCGCGGAGAGGTCGAGGAGTAGGAGCAGTGAGTAGTGGCCATTAACTTTGGTGGTTAGAAGGTCGTTGGTGAGTTTGAGTAAGGCTGTTTCGGTGGAGTGTAGGGGACAGAAGCCGGACTGTAGGGGGTCGAAGAGGTTGTTGTCGTTGAGGTGAGAGCTTAGGCAATTATAGACTAAGCGCTCAAGGAGTTTGGATGTAAATGGCAGCAGGGAGATGGGTCTAAGGTTGTTCGGGTCAGTGGGGTTCAGAGAGGGCTTTTTAAGTATGGGAGTGATGTGCGTGTGCTTCAGAGGGGAGGGGAATGCGCCAGAAGAGAGGGAGAGATTAAAGATGTGGGTGAGGGAGCGTAGGATGGAGATCGTAGGTGAGACGGGCTTCAGAGAAGACCTTAGTGACCTCCTCAGTGGTAGTAAGGTCGAAGGAGTGGAGTGTTGAGGGGGCTTCAGTGTGAGGGATGTTAGGTGGGGTGGAGGTCTGGACCGTGGCGAGGCCAAGGGAGAGGGGTATTGAGGGGGTTACCGCGTGAGAGGTGATAGGTGGGGTGGGAGTCTGAGTAACGGCGATGTCCCTGCGAATTGTTTCAATCTTGTTTTTGAAGTGATTGGCAATCTCGTGGGCGGTGAGTGAGGTACTGGGTGGAGGTGGGGGCGGAGAGAGTAGAGAGTTGAAAGTAGAGAAGAGCCAGCGAGGATTGGGGGAGAGGGTATTGATGAGGGTCAGAAAGTAGGTTTGTTTGGCAGCGTGGAGGGAGGAGGTGTAGGTGTGGAAGGCAGATTTACAACAGGTGTACGCTAGTTGGGATCTGGTTTTGCGCCATAGTTGCAAGTAAACAGGACAAATAGAAAGGGGGAATCTCCATAAATGGGGACACAGACAGCGATAAAAAACGGGCTCTAATCCCTCTTCATTATCCAAAACTAAAAAAAAAATATTTCCTTAAGGGTTGGTTTCTCCTCTTATTTTTGGGAGTATTGTGGGAGCGCTCATTAAAAGGTGGGTGGAGTCTTAGTCTAGGAGACTTCTGGCTGACCAAGGAAAATAAAAGTCCTGTCCCAATGGTGCATGCTCTCCCCTTTGGGTGAGGGGCTGGGGTCAGTTTCCCCAGTCTAGAGCTTCACAAGAAGAGTGGTATGGCCCAGAAGGACTTAAGATCTGCAGTGCTGGAGCCTGATAAAGTCGGAGATTGGTTTGTCCCTTTGTTCTTCCCTCTGGGATGACTGGATGACTCATGGAAGGAGGTACAGCAAGGAACTCAGAGTGCCATTTTACAACCTTAGATGAAAGCTACAAGATACATTGTGTTCCTACTAAGTCTTAGAGCAGTATTTTGGATGTGTTACTGCTTATATTTGGACTGTTCGTTAATTGGAAGGATTATTTTAGTAAAGAAAATGTTTATTGCAACAAGAGGCCTCCATGTGATAATCTAATGGGTGAAGTGTTTAACATAGCCAATGCCTGGAAGGTGGAGATATATGTCTACTGGTGCAAACCTGGCTGTCTGGGTCTTTGAAGCCTATGCTTGGACAAAGTGTGTGAGCACTCCCATGGAAGAGGGCAATAACTGTATACAGGCCAGGAAGATGGAAAGTTTAGGCCTCAGGCCATCATCCACGCCAGGGACAGTACTGATTTGGGCTGAACAACCATGACACCTGCAACCTGTATTCCTAGAGGCAGGAGGTACCCGGCTGCACTTGAGGACCAGGTGAGGGAGAAAGGCAGCCCAGTCCTGCCTATCTTTCTATCTATCTATCTATCTATCTATCTATCTATCTATCTATCTATCTATCTATCTATCTATCTCTATTGATTGATCTATATCAGTCTGACAGTATGAACTCACTTTTCAGCAATGAAGACATTAGGCCAAACTTCATCCACCTCATTCAGTGGGTGGTCCAGGTGGTCTTTCAGCAGTTCTCTCTGTAGGTCCATAACACAGGGGGTGTTGAACAAGCTGCGGTCATCAATCTTGTCCTTGACTCGGTTGTAGAGGTCCTCCACCAGAAGCTGTTCAGGAGACTCCAGGAGCTCGGGGCTCAGTGGCTCTATCTTCACCTCTTTGGTTTTCAGCTCTGTAATGGACAGATGTCATGTGACTGATGATTGCTACAAAGTAACCATATAATGGGGTATCAGTACCCATAAAAAGAGAACCTGTACCCTCACCACACCTTGTCCAGTGTATGATAACACAGAGGCAGTCTCATGCTTTCCACATTTCATAAATCAGTGTGCCAAAAGACATCATCCTGTGTACCTCGGGAGCTGTGCAACTGGTGCTATTCTGAACACGTGTGTTACCACGTTTGATATTTCATCATAGCCAGCAAGTTAGAACAAAAAGCAAACGTGAAATTCTGTCTGAGACTAAACAAATCGCTGGATCTCCGCAATATTGTCAAAAAAGGTGACCTTTGAGCTGGATCTTCATATTTGGGAAGAGGACATTTTTGGTTTTCAGCTCTGTAATGGACGGATGTCATATGACTTGTGACTGATGATTGATACAATGAGACCATAAAATGGGGTATCAGTATTCATAAAAAGAGAACTTGTACCCTCACCACACTATTTTCAGTATGATAACATAGAGTCAGTCTCATGCTTTCCACATTTCATAAGTCAGTGTGCCAAAAGACATCATCCTGTGGACATTGGGAGTTGTGCAACTGGTACTATTCTGACCACGTGTATTACCACGTCTGCAATTTCATCATGGACAGCAAGTTAGAACAAAGAGCAAATGTGAAATTTTGCGTGAACCTAGGCAAAACTGCCACAGAGACGTTTGACATGACTTATGAAGGTTGGTGCTCCCTGTGACTGTGCATGCTGCCTTGTGCTGCCATCTGTTGGTGTGTTACAAAACTAGTCTCAAAACCTTTTGCTACCACCTTGTATCTATTATAATGGTTTTATTAAATAGCCCAAAGGGCATTTGTCCCTTGTCCACAAGACATTAGCAAGCAATAGCGTTGGATTGACAGGCACAACAGGAACTCATAGAAGCTTTACTTTTGAAAGCCAGAACATCCCCAGTGTGGAAGAGGGAAATCTACGAGATCAGTATAATTTTAACATTTCCTTTCCTAGATTCAACCAATCACAAGCTTCCTTCTCTGACCTAAAGCCAAAGTAAAGATTAGTTGGTCTATGCCTACCAGGGGAATTGTGTTTCATGTCATTAGAGACTGCAGAGAGTCCAGTAGCTATATCTACACACTTCACAAAGGTTTGGTCCATCAGAAAATCCATCTTAGAAATGGCATGAAGCCATTGCCGGAGTGCACATAGACCTGTGATTTTCTGCAGCCTATTTGTGATAACTTCCTGTCTACAGCTGGGATTCCATTCAAATAGCAGGTCTGGGACAAATTTTAAAAGCTTTTAAATGAAACTATTTGACCTAGGCCCTAGTCACATATTGTGTGGCGGGAACACGCATTCCTGCTCACAAGGGTTTTTATTTACTGATTCACATGCGTTTATGCATGTTACGGATAGGGCAGCCCATTCACTTATGCTGCCTTAGGTGTGTTTGTTGCAGCAAAGATGCTCAGGGACCAAATTGTGACCCCAAACCAGGCACGTTTCACACACACACGCGCGTTTTGCTGTGATTCTCGCACGTTTTTTGTTGTGCGAAAATCATGGCAAAAATCGTACAGCATTTGGGGTGCCTGTAACGGAACCAACCCCAGACTGCGCTTGGGTACTTCCGTTAGGCTACCGCTTCCCCGTCCGAACTCCGACAACAGACACCACAGCAGACCATACAAAACTAGATGACACCAGTCTTGATGTAAACAAGGAGGTAGACTAGTTTATTTGAACACAGATACAAGATATATACACTCAGGGGACAATCCCCCCCTCCATGAATAATGAGACAGGGCAGGGCAATCTACATTTAGTAACAAGAGACACACCAGCAGACAGTCCCATCAGGGGGGAGAGCTGCTGGAGACACCCCCCACCAAGCCAATACACATAAACACATACATCCCATAATAGTTTGCTCCCAAGCCAGACGCACAATAGAACAATGGGATGCAACCACATAACATCAAACAATCAACAACCTCCCACCCAGGGACAGACTGACAACTCATGGGGCCCCCCGGGCAATAGGGGATCATGGGGCCCCTGTGTCCTTTCCCAAACTCAAAAAAGCCTATGAAAAAGGTACCAGGGGCATCTCATGGGGTCCCCTACTGACCCCAGGCCCTCGGGCAGTGCCCGAGTTTCAAAATGGTCAGTCCGCCCTTGCCCCCACCCCAATATTAGGACAGATCACCCTGTACCCCTAACAGGCACAGGGTGATTTACACATAAGAGGGATATGGGGAGCTGAGATAGGGGTCTCCCCACCTCTCCAAATTGAGCTGGGTTCCATGGGCTCCCCACACAAAGTCACTCCCGTCACAGTGCCGCTAACCAGTTGCCCTCTGCCCTATAGCAGAAGCAGTGCTACAGGGCTCTGCAAAATCACACATATATATATATATATATATATATATATATATATATATATATGATTTGCTATTGGCGGCTAGGGATGTCAATCATCAGGTCCCGGCCGGCGATTCCCGGCCAGCACTCAGAGATCGACAGGGAAAGCTGACAGGGGAGAGACCTGTTTGTAAACAACAAAAATCTCTGTCCTGCCAGCAAGGACATGCTGCTTTGTATATCTCTGCACAGCATTTCTCCCTAGTAAAACAGCACACAGTTAACTCTTTGATCACCCCAGATGTTAACCCCTTCCTGCCCAGTGCCATTAGTACAATGTCAGTGCTTTTTATTAGCACTGTATTAGTGTCACTGAGGACGTCAGTGGCAGTTAGTCAGTTCCCCCCCATTGTCAGAATGCCCGCCGCAGTCCCGCTATAGGTCACTGATCGCCACCATTATTGGTATAAAAAAAAAAAAATTTCCAGCATCTATACCGCCATTTGCAGATGCTATAACTTTCACATAAACCAATTAATTTACACGTATTGAAATTTGTTTTTTGCAGACATGTAGCAGAATATATTTTGGCCTAAATTTATGAAGAAATTTTTTTTAATTTTTATGTGTTTAATAGCAAAAAGTAAAAAATATTGGAGTTTTTTTCAAAATTGTCGGTCTTTTTTTGTTTATAGCACAAAATTTAAAAACCGCACAGGCGATCAAATACCACAGAGAGAAAGCTCTATTTGTGGAAAAAAAAAGACATAAATTTAATTTATATACAACGCTGCATGACTGCACAATAGTCGAAGTAACGTCATATCGCAAAAAATGACCTGGTCAGGAAGGGGGGTAAATCCTCTGGAGGGTAAGTGGTTAAGGATGAATGGTGCTCAAATAAATGTTGCCTAATTTTAGTGCGATATGGAATGGCATGCAGAATCATGACAATTCTCCCCGCTATTCTAAATCATTAACCTCCCTAGCGGTCTAATTATGTCCATATTTCTGTGCTCAAAGCGGTAAATTTTTTTGCATCGAAATATGTATTTTTTTTTTATTGTCGGCCTGTAATTTTTAGGAATAACTCACTGAAACCTGTCCAAACAAGAGTTTAGTAAACATCCCGGGTATGTTCCAATTTGAGACACGAAATCAGAAATGATAATTTAATAAATAATCATAAAAAATAATAATGTAATAATAAATTTAATTCAATAATATAATCAAACCGAAAACACTGAAATTTGAAATATAGCGCCAAGTTCGCACATCGCTGAGCAAAGTCACAGAATCGTTTTCAGTGTCTGATGACGAATTTTCCCCACGAATCATTATCACTCAATTCTGCAAGTGGTTCTGATTTACTATCGCTGTTCTCTAGCCGGTCTAAAACCGCTTTTGACCTAAAGGGACGCTTTTTGGACGCCATGGACGTTTCTCAGTTTCCAGGCAGAAAGAACAGTAAAAATGCAGGCAGGGCGCCGGACAAAGCACTCGGGACAAAATGTATGTGAAATGGTTTGATACAGGAATGTTATACTATGTGATTTTAGTGTATTTAGTGAATGTCACTTTTTGTCATTTTCAAATTTCCCGCCGTTCTGTCCCCCGTACATCCTGACGTCACAGGGAACGGTACCCGGAAGACACATGCCGGCATCGGCCGGATTACATTGCCGGGGACACTGCAGGGGGGACATTGCGGGAGCGCAGGACAAGGTAAGTGATCGAGGGATCCCGGAGCAGCGCTGCATGGTAAGCCCGAGTGTAGCTCGGGGTTACCGCTTGTACTGAAACTTTACCCCGAGCTACACTCGGGAATACCGCCAGGGGGGTTACTCGTTAACAGGCTCTCAATGATGACAAGAAAGGTTGGTCTGAAAAAACTGTTTTTCTAAGCCAGCTGGAGTGAAACTCTAACCGTGTATGGCCGGCTAGGGCTAACTAAGCCTGAGCCTTTAGACTGGGGATCACATCTAGTATTGCGTGAATGCATGTTTTTTTACGATTTTTCTTGCGTGTTTTCATGCTGCACATAAAGGGCAGCTCATTCATTTAAATGTGCGACAAAAGCACCGAAGAAGCTCCTGCACCATTTTTGGGTGCCAAGCTCTGCATGTTTTTTAACTGCTTACAGTATTTTGGCCTTCTGGTTGCGCGTTTTGACCCATGCTCTGTGTTTGGAGCGCCATTAACAATGAATGGCACTGCAAACATGGCGCACATTTTTCATGCATTTACAGAACACTTAGATGTGAAGGGAGCTTTACACTCTGCACCAGCAGCGGACTGACAACTCATGGGGCCCCCGAGCAATAGGAGATCATGGGGCCCCTGTGTCTTTGCCCAAACTCAAAAAAGCCTATGAAAAAGGTACCAGGGGCAGCTCACAAGGCCCCCTACTGACCCCGGGCCCTCGGGCAGTGCCTGAGTTTCCAAATGGTCAGTCCGCCCCTGCTCTGCACTTAAGACTATGGCTCCATCCATATCTATGCATGGTGGACGCGTTTTTGCATGTTTTTGAACTTTCCCAAGAACCGTGTATAGGGCAGCCCACTCATTCCAATGGGCTGCCCTTATGTGCAAGAAACACACAAAAGAAGGTCCTCACCCT